AACCTTTAACTTTAACAAAATTACAAAATTATCAACACCAAATAAAAAAATCAATGCCTATAGCTTGCTCCTCTCATCAAACCTTCTTTATTGTTTGGATCGGCCGGTTCACCGATTCAACCGATTGAACCGGTCAAACCGGGAACCGGACCTGAAAACGGTTCAATGACCGGTCCGGTTTTGAAAACATTGGTTTTGAGATGTATTAGTATCAAAATATCCTTACAAAATATTAAAGAGGACACTTCCCAAGAAAGTAAACCAAACAGACCCTTAAGTGGGATCCCAAAATGATTTACTGGTGTGCTACTTGATTAGAGAAGATACGTAGATTTTTTCTTGGGTTGATTTGTAATGATCTTGGGAAATATATTTTATAATTGAGATATATATATATATATATTTTTTTTTTTGTATGCATGATTCATGGGGACAATTCCTAGTGTTGTTGGAGTTATACTGGAAATGATTCCAGATCCAGGAGAAAGAAACCTGGTTCAGAATGGACATCAAACAAACAGATGAATGGGGCCGAATTGGTATTCGCCTTTGCTTCGGTTTGTTCTTTGCAGTTTGCATCCAAGATATTCTTGGATCAAAGGGCATTGGTTCAGTACTCCATGATATAACCAAGTGTCAGTGGGCTTCTAATTTCCATTAGGCCCTGGTTAGTTTTTATAATTTGGTTGATTTTTCAGGATAAAAGTAAAATTTTAGTATTTCCATTCTGTATATATACATTCGATCGGAGAAAGACGGGCGTGACTAGGATTTTTCTTCTCTCTCTAATGGGAGTTTGTTTTCTTGGACCGCGGAAGTTTCCCCTTTTGCTCGTCCCATCATTCGAGATAAGTATATTGATACTGGGGATTTGTTTTTTGCTATTGGGATTTTAGGTTTTGGTCTAGATGGCGCAGAGGAAGGCTGCTGTGCTAGTAAAAAAAGGACCGTGGAGGGGGAGTTCGTTTGGTTTTCTCCCTTCTATGTGTTGTTGTTGGTTTGGATATGTTGTTCTGGTGCTGTTTTGTTGGGGGTATGAGGGAAACGATGGCTTCGTTTTGTGCTGATGGAGTGGCGGAAATTGGCAGGATTTTCTCTTTGTTGGCTGCAGATTCTTCTGTTCTAGTGTGGGGCTTGTTTGCTGTTGTCGGTGCTTCCTTGTCAGAGCTTGCTTGGCTGGCGATGATGTGTAAGAGTCGCAATCGGGTTGGATGCTGGGATGCGGATTTTCTGGCCATAGTCTCAGGACAGGAGGTTGTGAAGGAGAAGAGAAATTTGTTGAAAGAAAATGGAGCCGATTGTTCGGAATTTGAAGGCAGAAAAGGTGGATAGGCTTTGGTAACACTCACTTACTAGGTGAGACTTGGAGGTACCCTTATGGTGTTTCTTTTACACATAAATTTTACATAAAATTTTAACAATTTATATCTCTAATTTTAACCCAAATCAAGAATCAAGATTTTTTAATTAATGGTATCAACTCAGTCATGCTGTTGTTAGTTTTTCTCCTATTAATTTGTTCCATCTCAATTTAACTCAAATGGACATCTTGATTTGGTTGTAATTTGTAATCAATAATACATGTAGACTAAAAACCTATGGCTTGGTGTTTACAATATAAATTGTAAAATTCAAAATGATGCCACGTGTTATTAATTTTTGTAGGGATGGATATGATGTTGCAACGTCAAATATGCTAGCTGGGATCTCTAATTAGGACCTTTGACAGATCACTTGCTACATAGATGGTAGAGTCATTATCCGTTTAATTGCCTATTTCAATTGAAGTGGACTTGTAATAGCAGGTGGTGACTAAATCCATTGCTAAGGTGTCTGACTTTCTCAGAAAACCACCCATGATCTATAACCACCAAGAGTGGGCACAATTTGAGGCTTCCATGGAACAAACAAAAGTGAAATTTCTAATCATTCAACACATGATCGGCCCTACACATAATTCAAAACTAACTTTAGCACTTGTAGATTTTAATAGCAATCACCCTCTTTAATTAACAGATTTCAGTTTTTAACATAATTTTTACTAGGTTTAGGTTGTTTTGAACATTCAAGTAGCCAATCTAGTTCTTGTAATTGTTTTCTCAACTTTTCTTCATGTAATTAACGTCTAACTTTTCAATTTCTGTAAGATACCATTTCTTTTCTAGCTAATGTTTATTTAAAGTTTACAATGAGTAATGTTTCTCCAAATGATTACTTATATATTGTTCATACTTCTTTCTAGTTTTTGACATGTTAATTTGCTTTTTGTTCATATTAGTTTTATGATCATTTAGTTTCAGATAGTCTAGATAGCTTGCTTATATTTCAAGTTCTACAATTGCACAATTTCCAATTTTGTTTGTAGATCGTAGTTTATTCTAACAATGAACATACTTAGTTTAATTTAGATGCATTTTTCATTCATAAGTTTACTTTAACTTGCACTTCATTTAGTTCATTTAATATATGTTAACTTTAATTTACAGTAGTATTTAACTCTCTGGAATTGTCCAAGATTGATTAGTCACACATTTTGTAAAAAGGCATCCTTCCCTCTAACAAATCATTTGAAGGTGTGAAATTTAACTTTAAACTAGCATTCTTTCAACTATCCTAACGAAGGTTGACCATATAGAAGGAGAGTATCATTGGGAAAATTCTCTTTTTTTACCTTATAGAGAAGCAAGTGGTACATATTACACTTAGATATACTATGTGTGTGTGGTGTGCTACTTTAGGATTTTGAGGAAACACTCATTAACCCTAAATATTAGATATATTGATAAGTATATGTCATCTTATAAATTGGATTTTAAGTTTAATTGTTAATAGTTTTAATATATGTAGACTAAAACATATGGCTCAGCAACTCTAATAATATATATTTAGTGATTACTTTGTTATTACTTATTAGGATATATAGAATTATAGTCTACTTACACGCAACTAACATATATAAAAAATTAGTGTCAATGACTTAAGTGGTCTAGTTTTTTTTTTTTTTTTTTTTTTTT